CCGAGCCTGTTTTTGCCAACCCTGAATTTCACTGAGCACCGAAAGTTGCCGAGCCTGGGTCCCATTGTGTTTTCTTGCCGATTGCAAGGAAAATGAGCAATAGCGAAAAGACAGAATTCCAGATTGCAAAATCACACTGAAAGCCAGATAGTCGACAGCTGTCCAGAAAGCGGGAACGCACTGATGTCAGACCAAAGGAGAATCAAAGCAGCAAACTCAATTGTCAATGAAAGCATACTCTCGCCACGACCACCAATGCAATCGACGCTCTTCCGCCTATCAGCGCTCAGCGCCCAGACTACTATCCCACATCTACTCTACTAGCCTACAAAATGATGAAACGACCAGTTGACGTTAGCAACAGCAACCGAAGTACATGCAGATGTCGACCATGCAGATCTCCGCCAAGACCAGGTATGTGCCCTCACGTCACCTCCTCACTCACCCTCACCATGCTCACCCTGGGACTTCTCTCCCACGTCCTACCACCTTCCAAGGACCACCGCCATCCCCCGCCAGCTTACCGAGCCCAAGCCTGGCTATGGGGGCTTGGCTATGGCGCTGCCTTCTTGCAGCGCCCTGCTCTAGCGAGTGCGCTCGCTTCTCCCAGCACTAGCGCTAGCATGCAGCACGCGCGAGCACACGCTCCAGCACCGCTACCGCATGCACTCGCAAGTGCCCGAATCCCGTCTGCTCGGCCAGGCATTTGTTGCCCGCCTGGCGTGGCCTCGTGTGTGCCCAGTTGCCTCGCGTTGGGCCAAATTGTCTGCATCCAGGACTCCAGGCCCATCAAAGACATTGCCGTTCCAGCCCGTCTACAAACTGGACACAACATGTCAGGTTGCAGTACACAAGTGTAGTACTGACTGTCGTCATACGTATGAAAACAAAAACTTGTATGGGTATCCTTTCATAAGTTCATACATAATCCTCCCGGCACAAGGCATGTGAACCACATGCCAGCTGGATCTCAGGGGGGTCATCACAGAGAGGCATTGAGCAGGTTTCGTTAGTTTCCGTAGTATTTACCCCTTCTCCATGGCCAGACAAAGACACCGGGGATTGTGTGTGTGTGGGTGTGTGGTTTGAATTTTCACCTCAACAGCCCCTACTCCACCGAGATGAACAGATCCAAAATCAAAGCATATTTAAATAGTTTAATCATATTACAAACAACGAAAGCCCCCGAGTTCAGACAACCCAACAATGAAACAGTTTCACCTCAATAGCAAGGATATGGAACGTACAATAGAAGCATGTAAACCCCTTTCTTGAATGTGTTCACATTTGCTTTCTCGGGGTACCCCTTTCATTTGTTCTTGCAGCTCCCCCTTTATTGTGCCTAGCATGCACAAGGCTCGCCACGTTGATTGTGGTTGAGCGCAAGCTGCCCCATAGCAGCCCACTTGCACACTATGAAAGGAGGCAGAGCAAAGGCGGAGGTATATTCCTGTTCGTTTCTTCTCCGATCTTCAACTTGTATTTTGTCTGTTCTCGTAATGATGCTCATTCGCATGTGTTATTAGTAATACACAAAGAGGAGGGAGGGAGGAAATGGGAGGTGGAGTTCTGACAGGGTTCTAGATAGTGACCACTGGGGCAGACCACTCTAGAATGGCACATGAGGCCAGTCAGTGTGTGGGTTGCATAAGATTTGAGGAGCAGTTGTTGCTTGTGGCGTTCAGCTGCTGCAGGATTTGGTCTGCAACAGCTCACCCTGGTTGAGACATCCTATCAGTACAGCGCTCTGTAGGTGGTTCATATGGTAATCTATTTTCCTCCTCAGGCTGCTGTGCCCGTCGTTCGTCAGGCAAGGACGAAGGAATTCCGACTGCGGTTGCAGTAGGTGTATGACCAACACCGCATGTTGGACATGCTAGGAGAGGATGTGGTGGATGATGACACCGGGGATAGTCCACTCAGGAGAGACACGTACTTTCTATGGCAGCTTCCTGGAAACATTGACGACACATGGCATGTTGCTGATATGTCATCAGCAAACAAAGCTGACGTGCACAATTATTCAAGCATGGCAGATCAAGGCCACAACGGCCTCTCTGTGTGTGTGTGTGTGTGTGTGTGTGTGTGTGTGTGTGTGTGTGTGTGTGTGTGTGTCTGTTCTTCCCTACATTCTGGAGGCTCGTGGTTTGCATGTCAAGGACACACGAAGATTCAGTCGGCCTCCTTTTGGTTTGGCAAATCGTTGTTATTTTGCTGCCTCTGTCTCAAGTTGTTGTTGTTTGCTGCTACTCTCCTAGTATACATGCACTAACCTACTTCTCTGGTATCTTGTGGAATTATATCTGCAGAGTAGCAGACCATGTGAACAATGATCCAGATGTCGGCGATCTCTTGAAGGTTGTGTTTCTTCCAAATTTCAACGTCACCATGGCAGAGGTTAGCACTGTTCCCAGTTAAACTAACTGATTGACAATGACTCTGACAATCGTGCTGTCTTGTGGAGCTTCTGATGTCACGGCACCATTTGCCAAAACTGTTGGTATATCTACAGCCTGTACCTTGGAGCCTCGTTTTGCGGAGGCGGATTCCCCCTGCTCGCCAGAGTAGTCACGCCGATGGTCAGCACCCCCTTGATTTGTCAGCGGTGGACTATACGACCGTTCCACCAGTCAGAAGCCTGCAATAAAAAAAGAAAAGAAAAGTGGGGTCCATAACCCCCAATAACCCCATCAACACCCCCATAGCCCCCTCCTCCTACCCCCAACATGTGCATACACCCCCCCAAACCCATACCTGCC